CGCACCTGCTCTAGCCCTCCATCAAGCCATCCCTCCTCATTAGAGGGCCCCATCCGCCCTGCCCTGCCCTTCCCCGCGCCTCCTCCTCGGCCTCGCCCCTCCAGCCAGCCCCTGCTCGTCTCACCACCTGTGCCCACCAGCCCTGCCCCCGAGCCTAGCCCTCCCCGCCCCACGCTGAGCCGGCCTGCTCTCCGCAGAGGAACGAGTACCTGCTGACCGTGGTGGCCGAGGACAGCGACCTGCTGCTGCTCGGCCTGCGCTTCTCGCCCTCCCAGCTGCACTTCCTGTTCCTCAGCGAGGACGTGGCCGGTGCCTGGCAGACCCGCGTGTCCTTCCGCAGCCCGGCCCTGGGGGACGGCCGCTGGCACACGCTGGTCCTGGCTGTGACCGCAGGCGTCTTCTCCCTCACCACGGACTGCGGCCTCCCGCTGGACATGTAGGTACCCCGGCGGGGAGGGCGCCCCTGCAGCCGCAGGGCCCTGCCAGGCCAGCCGTCCGCCGGCCATGCTTTCAGAGCAACACCTGTAGGAGCTGCCCTGGGGCAGGAGCCGACCAGGGGCCAGGAGCTATGGGCTGGAGGGGCTTTTCCCGTTCCTTCGGTGAGCAGACCAGGAGCCACCGCTCTCCTGTGGCCCTAACGCTGTCCTCTGATACTTTCAGAATGGCCGATGTGCCCTTCCCAGCCACCCTATCGGTGAGAGGAGCTCGGTTCTTCATCGGCAGCCGGAGGAGAGCCAAAGGCCTATTCACGGCGAGTATGGAGGGGCTGCCCTCCCAACACCCGCGCCTGTGGGATAGGGCTGCCCTGGCCGCCTGCCCTGCTGCTCCAGCTGAGCAGATCCCCAGATGTGCTAACTGGAAGGGAAGGCACAAGCGGGCGAGGAGCGTCTACCACAGGGCCTTCAAGCTTGCTGTTTCCTCTTCCTGGCACCCTCCTCCCTGGTAGTCTTGGGTCCCTATCCAGCAGTCCTCTTCAGGCTGCCCCCACCATGCTGAGCCAATGCCCACACTGCACCCTGCAGCCCCTTCCCCAGAGCTGAATATTTATCAATGCATGCTTGGACAGATAGATGGATGAGTGGATGGGCGGATGGAGGGATGGAGGGGTGGATGGATGAGTGATGGATGAATGGGTGGATGGATAAATGGATGCATGGATGAACAAATGGGTGGATGGGCTAATGGATGAGCAGAGTTGCCAGTCACTCTAAGTTCACACAAAAAAGCCCCTTCTGTGGTTCAGTTCCCTGGGAAAGTGGGCAAATCTTCACCATTCCTCCCATGGCCTCCCCAGTAACCATCACGTAGACTCTTCCCACTTAGCTCTGCAAAAGGTTAGATTCCATCCACCCCACCCTCCTCCAGGGTCTGGATGGGCCGAGCCCGGTATTCCCCTCCCCAGCAGGTCCTTCCTCAGCAGCGTGGGCCTGAAGGAGCTGTCCCTCTCTCTGCAGGGCCTGGTGAGGCAGCTGGTCCTGCTGCCGGGCTCAGACGCCACCCCAAGGCTGTGTCCCAGCAGGAATGCCCCGCTGGCTGTGCTGTCCATCCCACGGGTCCTGCAGGCTCTCACGGGGAAGCCGGAAGATAATGAGGTGCTAAAATATCCCTATGGTTAGTAGGGAGGCCACCTGCCCCCACACCAAAGGCGACGTGAGAGCCCTGGCCTCCCACCAGGCAGGAACTCGGGGCTCAGTTCTCAGCTTCTCCCTTGTGCTTGCCCCTCTCTTTGCTGCCAGGGGGGGCAGCGGTCACACTGGCCAAGGGGACGATGCTCGGGGCCCATGCCCAGGAAGGCAGGCGGCACCATTAGACAGGCCAGTGTCATCTGCTCTTCCCTCTGGGCACTCCCACGACAGCTGCCCAGCCTCTTCCTGGGCACCACAGGCAGACAGCAGGCCTAACTTACTTTAGAAACTCTGTCCAGAGCTATCTGACGTCCCTCATCCCTTTTTGCCCCCCATAACAGCATTTGGGCCATTTCTGCTCCACCCCCAGCCCTGCCTCTGTCCCACAGTCATCCAGACCAGCCCACCCCAGTCGGGCCCACCCTGGCCCAGGGGGTCTCCCGGCTTGGCTTTCTCTTGTGCGAAGTTACAAGGTTGTGTTTATTTAAACCACACCCCTGCCATGGAGAATCTGAAGCGCCCCTCCCCGCCGCATCCCCCACTGCTCTGTGGCCACCCCGAGGGACAGTGAGGTAGAGGACAGCCAAGCCCCTGAGCCTCAGGGTCAGTGGTTACGAGGTGGGGGAGCCCCCACCTCCCACATATCCCCGCACAGGATACCGTGTCACCGTGTCACGCAGCTGGTCAGCACAGGCCGGTAGATGCACAGAGGTCCCACGGAAAGTCAAGAGGTAGCAGAATTAGGACCCACAGTAGGGTGTGACTACTGGTAGTGATGAGATCAAACTGTCGCAGATCCACACCAAGCCGAGGTTAAGATACCCCAGTGTTAATAGGGACTTGCTCCCGAGGTGGGCCAGCACTGCGTGCAGTCCCATAATGAGGTGCTAAAATATCCCTATGCTTAGTAGGGGGGCCGCCCACCCCCACACCAAGGGCAGACATGAGAGCCCTGGCCTCACACCAGAGGAGTGGACTTTTCTGTCTCAATAGGATGGAAAGCCATGCCTTTCAGAGTGGACAGAGGGTGGACTGACCATATAGGGGGCATCGTAATGTCCTTCGTCACCAGTAGGCCAGGTTCTCATTCCCCACCTGTGGTGTGGCACACCTGCGCCAAGATGCCTGCGGGGGCCCTCCCAGCTCGCGTGCAGAGGCAGAGGCAGGCAGCCTGGTTTGGCCCTCCTCCCGCGTCATCTTCCTCGGGGGTACCGGCCTGCCGGATGCTCATCTTCCTGGTCTTCCCTGCAGAAACCAACATTCGAGTGACACTGGGACCCCGGCCACCGTGTACCAAAGTGGAAGACGCCCAGTTCTGGTTTGATGCTGGCCGGAAGGGGCTGTACCTGTGTGTCGGCAACGAGTGGGTGTCTGTGTTAGCAGGTGAGGCAGGGCCACTCTGGCACGGCGCAACTGGGAGCCGCAGCTAGGAAAGGTGGCGCCTCAGCCACCTGCAAATGACCTGTGGCTCGGCCGCCAGGCTGGGGCAGTGTCAGTCCTGACCCCCAAAGCAAGTGGCGGCTAGGATGGCCAGCAAGCCAGGACACTGTCCCACCCAGAGCTGCAGGACCCTCAACCATAGGCCCTCCTTGGGACAGGCGCCACTCAGGAGAATAAGCCACCCCATTTGGAAATGTGACCCTCCAGGGCATGGCACAGGCTGGCAGGGCTGGGCATCACTCAGTACCCCTTCCCAAACTATGGGAAGACGATGCCTGCATCCCTACAGCCTCCTGGTAGGGTGTCCTGGCCGCTGCCTCTGCCCACACCCTCCCTGTCCGCTAGATCAGAGATGAGATGCGAGGGCCTCCCTGTGATGGCCTTTCCTGTGAGGGTACAATGTGGAAACTGATGCCAAGGCTGAGGTGCAGGAGTTGAGGCTTGGGGCTTGGGGCTTGGGGATCGTGCTCCCATGAGGATTGCTCCGGGTGCCCGTTCTCGGAAACCTTAACCGAGTCACAATACTTCTATCATAAGCCAAAGAAAGGCTGGACTACGTGGAGGAGCATCAGAAGTTGCTCACCAGCTCCGAGACCCTGGGCATCGAGGTCTTCCGCATCCCCCAGGTGGGGCTCTTTGTGGCCACAGCCAATCGCAAAGCCACGTCCGCCGTGTACAAGTGGACCGAAGGGAAGTTCGTCTCGTATCAGAGCATCCCCACTCACCAAGCACAGGCCTGGAGGCATTTCACCATCGGGAAAAAGGCAAGTCTGTGTTCTGTGACTGTCTCCAGCCCCTATAACCTGGAAAGTCCACGGGCGGGGCTCCCTGCACTGATTCTGAAGGCAAAGGAGTTTCTCATGGTGTCAACCCCTCGTTCAGGTGCTAGAAGGCTCACAGAGTCGCACACGTTAGCCTACCACCCGAAATCCAGGGTGTGACTTTAGGCAGTTGGAATGGAAGGCCAGGCCATCTCCCAAATGCCATCCAGTTCTACACAGACCCCGAATCACTGCACTTAAAACCTGCTGAGAGTATTTACATGAGCTGGTCAAGAACCAAAAATCATTTCAGAATGAAATTACAAAATGGACATTCCTGATCCTTCCTGTCCTCAAATGTTGAGGACACGTGATGTCCACACGGAAGGCTGAGGCCAGGCTCGGGAGCCGTGGGTGATGCCTCGCACACAGGCAGCCGCCTTCCGTTCCGGGCTGCTCTGGGCAGACGTGGCGGGTCTGAGAGATGGTTGACATCACAGGGGAGGGATGGGGCTTCCTCTCCCCAGCTCTGTCCACTCCCTGGACTCCACACAGCAGTGCCCTGGAGACAGCACCTCCCGACTGCCCCCAAATAGTCACTCACCTGACCACACTGTGCCAAGCACACCCACCAGACCCCCCTGGACACAGGGCTAAAGCAGTGAGCACCGCAGATGGAAACTCTGCTCTCCTGTGACTTATGGCCACCCTCCTCCCAGCTGCATCGGCGTCCAGCATGGCGGGTGGATAACTAGCTCCCTTTTTTTTTTTTTTTTTTTTTGATTGATGATATCATAAGGTTTTAATTTTTTATTATAAAAAAATAACTTTGCATCAAGGAAAAATTGGAAAATTCAGAAAAGCAAAGAGGAAAATATTCTATCCCCCAACCCAAGCAAGCATGCAGGTTCATGTGGCACCCTCGCCTCCAAGCATGTCGCCCGTGACCTGGGCACCTGCCCCCCATTCCACGTGTTCACGCAGCTGCACCGTGAGGCCGGGCACACTGCACCCTGTTCCTGTTTTCCACACCTTGTCGTGACACAGCTCTGCGTGGTGATCACACCCTTACCACGGGGGAGTAGGCTGTAATGATTTTTTCCAGTCATCTGGGTTAGGAAAAACGTTTTTGTGCATAAAGCGTTTCCTGAATTTGGGGATTTTGGCTTTTGTGATTTTTTGCCTTCAGAAAGCAATAGAAGTGGAAATGTTGGGTAAAGGACAGACGTTTTCAAGGGACTTGAAGGTGGTGGCCGGCTGCGCCCACCCCACCATGATGACCTGTGATGTGGGGCCTCGATCTTCTGTCCCTGCGCCATGTAGCAGCCGAGGGTCTGGAGAGACAGGATGATGTTTGGGAGCCTTCAGCCCCAGGCCCCTGCCCCCGCCCCCGCCCCAAGCAGGCTCACGTGGTCCTGGCTTACTCTCTTTCAGATCTTCCTGGCAGTGGCTAATTTTGAACCAGATGAAAAGGGTCAGGAGTTCTCTGTCATTTACAAATGGAGCCACAGAAAGCTGAAGTTCACCCCGTACCAGAGCATTGCCACACACAGCGCCCGAGACTGGGAGGCCTTCGAGGTGGACGGGGAGCACTTCCTGGCGGTGGCCAACCACCGGGAAGGTAGGGCAGGTGTGGCCTTTACTCCACATGGGAATGGCACCTGTGGAGGCCTGCAGGTGGGGCCAGCAAGGGGCTGGCTGAGGGAGAGAAGGGGCGTCCCCAGCGGCTGGCCTTGCCCTTGCGAGTCTTCAGTCTTTGGGGCAGGGCCCTGGAGCTCTGGCTCCGTCAGGGCCACCACGGGGCCGTGGAGTTTGCCTCCCACCCCCAGCGCAGCCCCTCGGTTCCAGGCGACAACCACAACATTGACAGTGTCATCTACAAGTGGAACCCAGCAACCCGGCTCTTCGAGGCCAACCAGACCATCGCCACCTCTGGTGCCTACGACTGGGAGTTCTTCAGTGTGGGGCCCTACTCGTTCCTGGTGGTGGCCAACACCTTCAACGGCACCTCCACCAAAGTGCACTCACACCTCTACATCCGGCTCCTGGGCTCCTTCCAGCTCTTCCAGTCCTTCCCGGTAAGGCCCCAGCATGAGCCCCGGCTCTCCATCATTGGCCACTGTGCCTGCCATGTGCACCTGCTGGACAGGTGACGTGGGCTGGGGTCAACCAAGAGCCACACCTAGTGCTGCTCTGCATCTGCAACCCCAAGACCCAGGCAGGGCCTGCCCGTCTGGACAGCACAGGGTACCGCTCCTTGCCTGGCATTTGAGCCCTTCCTGCCTGACAGCCTCTGTGTACCCAGGGACAGTTCAGGTGCCCAGAAATGGGGCGGGAGGTGCATCCTGGCTCTGCCCCACCTTGGCATGGTGTTCTCATACAGTGCCTGCCCCCTCCCTGGGCTCAGAGCAGGCCCTCTGTCCCCTTGGAAGCTCCTACAGTCTCATCCAAGTCTGTATGGGCGTTGGGGCCCTGGCCCAGGGGCAGCTGGGCAGCTCGGCTGTGGTCCAGGGCAGTGTAGGGTCTGGGTGGGGGCAGCACGGGACACTCCCCAGCAGGCCCCACATGTCCCTGGGCGGGTTCCAGCCACCACAAGGCCTTTGAGTTGAGGCAGTGACGGGTGCTAATGAGGCCACCTCTGGGGTGGGGACAGCACACTCCTGCTCCTGGCCAAGGATGGGGATGGGAGCTGAGGTGCAGGGTACAGGACAGGTCGGGGGACATCTCCCCATGTCATGCTCAGCCTCTGTGTGAGCCATGGTCCCTGGTTCCCGGGAAAGCAGCTCAGGGCCTTTGCAGTGCCGCCAACAGCACTCCCGCTATTTGCTATAAGCGTGCCTCTCATAAGACATCACCTCCCTGATATCCTTCCGGAATCTTCTGTGCCCTCTGACCTGGTGACTCATTCTCCTGCAGCAATGTTCTCAGGGTGCTCTGTACCCGAGGCAGTGAGACTCACCCAGGCCACTCTTGCCATGTGAGCTGCCCCCAGTGAGGCTGGTACAGGGGCAGAGCTATGGCGGACGCTGAGGCCTAGGTCCCCCCACCCCCATCACGGTGTCTGGAAAAACAGGGACAGCAGTCAGACCTTGCCAAGCTGCCCCTGCATGAGACAAGAGGCTGCGCATGCAGTGGTGGGGGCTTTAAGGCTGAAATGATTGAAGGCATTCTGGAACATTCCGTACATACATCTCATGAGAGCAAGCCTGCAGGTAGTACATGGGAATGAGCTTCAAAAAGAAAGGGAGGAAGGTGTGCAGCAATCGCAGGTTCCTGGAGTCCCTCCACCCAGCAAGAGTGAGGGCAGCTCAGGAAACTGAGAGCATGAGCACCTTGAGAAGCCTGCAGGGGCCGGGCCAGGAGTCATGGCTGACAGGGACCGACCGCGCGTGGCAGTGCCCGAGAGGGACCGACCACGCGTGTCAGTGACTGACGGGGCCCTTCCACGCATGTCAATGCCGTCCTTTCGGCGTTGCGTGCAGAGATGGCAGCAGGACCCCATGTGCCCAGCCGTCTGGGAGGCTGGGGCACAGCGTCGTCCAGGTGACCAGCACTGCACCCTTAGGCCACTCATGGGTCAGTGGGGAAGGGCAGCTTTAAGTGGATGCTCTGGGCACCAGGAGAGCAGATGTCAGGGAACACCAGGAGGAATTGGGGGCTGGGAAAGTAGAGAGGGCACCTGCAGGGTAGCAGGGCAGGGAGTGGGCAGCAGGGTCACCACCCAGAGCCACAGGGCTGCAAGTGAAACATTAAGCCTGCCCTTGTGGGGGCAACAGGGCTGCACTGTCATGACTGGTCAGTGACTGGGAGGGGGCGAGCCATTGGGAGGCTACTGTGGCTGCCCAGGTGAGCTGTGGGTGCCCAGGTGAGTGGCCGCCCAGGTGAGCCACGGGTGCCCAGGAGAGCTGCAGGTGCCCAGGTGAGTGGCCGCCCAGGTGAGCCACAGGTGCCCAGGTGAGCTGCAGGTGCCCAGGTGAGTGGCTGCTCAGGTGAGCCACGGGTGCTCAGGTGAGGAGGCAGCAGTGCCAGAAGGAACACACTTTGAGCTTGCTAGTGCTGTGGACTGAATAGGCGAGCGTGCCTGTGAGCCAGGAGGAGGCGGGATGAGGCACAGGGGCGGAGCGAGGCTCAGTGCGCTGGGGTTGTGGGTGAGCGAGATTCCTTCCAGCCACTGGTCTTGGTAACAGCCTTAGGAAGTGGGTGGTGGCGGCGGCTGGTGCTGGCTTAGCCTCGACTCTGTAAAGTGCATGTGCCAAAATGTCTGCCCTTGTCCTGCCATGTCATCCTCACAGCACCTTGAGAGGGGAGTGCAGCCACGAGTCCCTTTATCCACGAGGACACTCAAAGCGGTGGAGGGGTTTGCCTGTGGCAGAGTGGGATCAAGCCAGGCAATGTGGCCTGCCACTCAGTTTGACACGGCACAGTGCAGAGCCGAGAACAAGTTCCTCATCCTACTGGTCCCTGCACAGTCCCCTCACCACAACACGCATGCTGCTAAGACTCTGGGAAACCAAACGTGCATCCTGGGCTGGTGGCCATGTGCTGACGTGCAGACAGCTGACCTGAAGGAGGGTTCAGGAGCCTTCGGTCATGGGTTAGCCTGGCCACAGGGCTCAGCAGGGACGGCTCCCCCTGACCAGGAATCATTGGCTTAGAGTTGGACTTGAGGCCAGTGAGGTTTGAGATGCAAAAGTGATGGCAAGCTGGAGCCAAGAGCATGATATGGGCTGAAAATCGGGACTCCCAAGGAGGCCTCGACACGCAGCGACAGCGGTTAAAAAGGCAAATGATGACACTGAGCAGCAGCACAAGGGTGATTTGGGGACCGGGGCGCAGCTGCAGAGCACCAGTGATCCGACCGACAGTGGTTCCCTTGGAAATACCCGGGGCTCCACAGGGGTCTCATGTGTCATCAGGATCACGTGGGTGCCCTAACAGGAACATGTGCCCTGCTGGAAACACCTGGGGCTCCACACTGGTCACATGTGCCATCAGGA